TTAATAACAAGAGGATCATGTGTGTGTGTGTGTGTGTGTGTATGTGTGTGTGTGTGTGTGTGTGTGTGTGTGTGTGTGTGTGTGTGTGTGTGTGTGTGTGTGTGTGTGTGTAGTATATGTCAAAAACAAACCCCAAACCGCACATTGCCAGACAGTTTATGTCACCTACACACGCTACAGAGACACTGAGTCTTTACCAATCACCTCTCATTGCTCTTAATTACCCAATTCAACTACCTTCATCTCATTCATTGTTATCTATCAGCCCTTCACTGTTCCCGCTTAAGAAGAAAACAGGAAAACAAACATCAAGAAGATAAACAAAAGGGTAGAGCCAAACAGATGATAAATGGAGGTAAATAACACAGTAACAATGACGAAGAAGGCTTTCTCTCTCTCTTCCCTCCTGTGTACAGTAGTTCTTTATTTTATTTATTTACTGGACACCTAGGACCTCCCGTGTGTGTGTGTGTGTGTGCGTGCGTGCGTGCGTGTGCGTGTGTGTGTGTGTGTGTTACTTATTCTATCTTCAGAGTTCTTCAGTCACATGTGTATGTTCGTAAAAATAAAATAACGAATTGAACAATGTCTTAAAAATACAAACAATAATATCAATAAATGTAAAGTCGGACAAATCACAAGGGTTGGGTTAGGTTAGGTTAGGTTAGGTTAGGTTAGGTTAGAAAGTACAAGTGCTAAGACAAACACAAGAACAATAAAGACAGGTGTACACAAACACAATAGTTCACACGAGGCCAGACCACTGATACCAGGTTTAGGTGGTATCCAAACAGACCGTCCATGCTAAGTGGGTGGGTCTCGTCACTGGCCTCGCCGAGAACTAAACAGGGCAGTCGTAATTCCAACTGTGTTTTACAGAACGCTCTGATTGGTTATTTTCCTCGCGTTGTGACTGTCTACGAGACCATGACGTCATAAAAACGTTTTCTTTGTTAAATGTGATACATATATAGGATATCAGTAACAATTCATTTCCTTTTTGCTATTATTATGTATATATATATATATATATATATATATATATATATATATATATACAGTATGAAATATTACACAGTAGATTCTTTAAACAACTTTACAATCAAATGGAGCAGTACAGTATTTTATTGGATAAAAGAGATAAAAGAGTTCAAGAAGTAGAAAATGGAGTGATACCACGGGTGAACATCATAGAAAATGAACTGTTAAAAAGGATAACTATTATATTACATATAATTTTAAGATGTCTGATAAAATAAAATAAAACAAAGAACTAACAATAAAGGACTCGCCGAAAGTCGATGTATAACGGCGTGTAGATGACAAAGGCTCTACAGTGAAAGTCATGTGAAAGGCACTGAACTCAAGGCGGATCCAGTGGGGGGACTTCCCCCCCCCCCGTTTTCATCAGAAAACTCCAATACTTTTCCTTATTGCAGTATTGTACTCAGGCATTTTTGCATAGTAATAATGAATTACTATTGACCTCAGAATATCCACTAATATCAAGTGTACATGGCTTCAAAATGACCTCAAATGCCCAGGATATTGATCAGATTTAAAAAAAAAATTCTGGGGGGGCTTTCAGCTACCCCCCCAGATGGAAGGGCTCGCTTTGCTGGCCAGGTTCCCCCACCCAAAACTTCTTTGACCCTCCCCCTTTTGATATTCCTGGATCCGCCCCTGGAACTCAAACATGGAACAGGACTAAATAACTTCCTTTGTGTTCCTAGTAGACGTCATCCTCTCGTGCCAACTCATCATGAAGCAGTATTGCTAAACTATCAATTATAAAATGAAGGAAATCAAATTAAATAACTTCATAATCATTCTATATCATTTTTATTTTGCAATTGACCCCTAAAGGCCTAATTAACAGTTTCAGTCTTTTTCCGACGGGCCACCGGGGCCGGTACAGTGACGTCAGTCTACCGTCTACGTCATCGAATTTCATTTTTTTACCGTCTAGCAGACGAATTTCCGTCAAACGGCAGCACTGGAACTATAAACTACGCCGCGCCATGTTGGTAGGCGTGGTTAGTGAGAGAGGTGGTTGGGCGATTAATTGTCCCGCATGAATAGAAAGACCCAAGTGCTCATGGATGCGTTTATTTAAGTGTTTTTGTTTAACCAATATATATACCGCCTAACAGCTAGCACAAGTGAGCTTATAAGCTATAGAGTATTGAATGTAAATATCTTTTAAGACGTTTGTTGCATACTGCTTTGGGCTGAGGATTTCGTTAGAGAGTGTTTAATATCTGTTGTATGTTGTATTGTTATGATGGCACACACGTAAGTGGAAAACTGTGTCCCTCTAGACTCTACTGTGAGAATGTAATAAGTAATGTTCCGAGACGTAAGCCGAATGTATTAAACAATTCAACATTCAAGATGTCTGTGATTTCCCTGGTGTTCCTCTTTTATTATTAAACTACGTGTGTGTGTGTGTGTGTGTGTGTGTGTGTGTGTGTGTGTGTGTGTGTGTGTGTGTGTGTGTGTGTGTGTGTGTTTTCCCTTTGATACAGGAAATCCCGAAAAATAATTGCAGAAAACCGAGTCTCAATAAAAACACATCTTCGTCTTAGGAAAAGAAGCTGGAGCACTAAGCCATAAGGAATTTACCGGTAAGATTAAACACTTTTATGCAGATGTGTTCAAGAGACGGGGTTAAGGATGCCTGCTGTTGAGGAAGAGAAGAATATAACCGACATCCTGCAGAAGGTGACTGAACTTCTGAAGAATAGTTGTGTTTCGTCGACCTCCTCTTCTTGTTTACCTGAGGATGGTGATCTGTCTCTACGTTGTCCACACTTACACCTGGACTAGTATTATCCCTCTCACGTGAAGAGGCGGCGACGCATGATATACAGTACATGACCGTCACGACACATACAGTAGTGTCTCCTTGCGTGTTGTCATCCATCTGCTGTAATAGAAGGCTTAGTCGGACCAGCGTGTGTTTGTCTCCTCGGCCACTCCCAATAATGAAGGGGTGAAGAGCATCTTGCGTGCGCTGGTCAACCTATCAATCTACTTTTACGTGCGTCGGTAACTGGAGTGGTGGGATGGTGTGAGCCTTGTGTGTGGCTCAGAGGCTATTCCATCACTCGCGAGTAACGTTTGCGTGTGCGACTCACGCTTATATCTAACATAATAGAGGGGCTGAGTGCGCCTTGCGTGTGCCAGTCACTCCATCACACTCCAAATAATGGGAAGGGTGAGGACCCTCCCGTCTGTCACATGAGGGGATCAAGTGATAATTTCTCCTGGTCTCGTTAACTGCTGTCAGGCTTAGAATAATATCTTTTTTCCTCAAATTTCTCTCATGTCATCAAATATCATTGAATTAAAGAAACGAGTATCTATAGATCGTCCCATGTTTTGGTAGTGAGTATCACAGTAGCTAAAGTAACAAGGTTTGGCTACAGCACACACCCTTGTTGTTATTTCCACTACTAGCTAAGGTTGGGTTACATATTCAGTAACCAAGTTTCCTGTAAAATGAATCCTTTTGCAAAATCTATAAACTGCCATAATAAAACATGAAACTGATACTTTACTGTTACGAAAAAAAAAGCATAAGAGAATCAGTACTAAGCACTCAAGCGGGACAAATTGACCTTAAAGAAGACAAAAGGATTTTATTTTCAGTGGAAGTTTTGAATTTTGTGACAATGGGACGCGTGTGAATCCGAAAATTGGTTCGTTATTTGTAGAACACGCACATGGATGTACTATGTGTGTGTATATATATATATATATATATATATATATATATATATATATATATATATATATATATATATATATATATATATATATATATATATATATATATATATATATATATATATATAAACAAACCTTGAAACTCGGTAAATAGATTTCAAGACCAGTAGTTTCATGAACTCGGGGATATAACCAAAGATTCAGTGAGGAAGAAAGTGGTATAAAACAGGGTAAGTGGCGCTCACTGGGAGGCTGCAACACCACCTAACCGACGGGATATCTCAGAGAATAAATTATCGGCTTCTGATAACCCGAGAATGGAACTGCCGCGGAAAATAAATTACAGTGACGGTGAGACTCAGAGCAGAAGTCGACCAACCATGAGTCAGCAGGAAGATGGAGAGGGAGAGACGGAGGTGTGACGTAGGAAGATAATGGAGGAAGGATTTTGAGAAGGGGGTGTGGCCGAGGGATGGAGGAAGGTGAAGAGAGGAGAGAGGGCAGTCAACTGGCTGGAGGGGATGGAAGTTGATGAACGAGGTCACGGAGTTGACGAACACGAGTAAGGAAAGGAAGACCAGAGGACGTGGGTAACTTTACATAATGTACAGGACTCTCTCTCTCTCTCGAATCCACGCAACCATAATTAAAATAACAAAAAGTTATTTTCTATTTCGTAAAAATAATTGTTGTGTTTTACGGCTTAATTGGACGATTATCCACAAATCCCATGACACAAATTGACATAGACAGATACTACAGTATGTATATATATATTATTGCTTTGTCTCTCGGTACACCTGCCTGTATCTCGGAATTCCTGCCTCTTGGTACACCTGTCTCCCGGAACACCTGTCTCTCAGAACACCTGTGTCCCTAAACACCTGTCTCTCAGAACACCTGTCTCTCTAATTAAACGCCTAGTGAGACGGATACACCTTAATACTATTTCCTTCATTTTCTGCCGAGAGGAATGTTGCTTCTTTGTGTTGAAGCGAACTTCCGTCAAGTCAAGAAGTCTGCGTGGACAGTCATGAAGGATAATCCGACTCGCGTTCTCGTCCAGGCGTACACTAAGTTGTCTAACGAGGTATTTTCAAAGTTGGATCAAAGGTCTCTTGTGTTCGCTAGACAATGAGAGAGACGGCGATGTTTGTCTCGACTGCAGGCAATAGAGAAGTCTTTCATTAGCAGTGATTGTTTTCTTTCGTTTCATCAACAAAATATTTTTTTGCGTGTAATTTCTTTTTTCGTCTCTCTTGCATCAGGTCCGACAAAATCTGTGTGGGTTACGGAAGGGGGCGTGGCTGACCTACCCTGTAACCTGACCTCGCCTTTGCCCGCTGACCCCGCCCTTCTGGTTCTCTGGTATAAGGACGGCATTACCAAGCCCATCTACAGGTAGGGCCGTCACCTAACAAGGGAGTTATTATTGATGTTTGTTACCCTATAGTATCCCAAGATGAGAGCGGAGGGTGCTGGAAGTGGTCTGTGTGTGGGGGGGCTGTGTGTGTGTGTGTGTAAGTCGGTTGGTGAGTCTTTATCAATTAGAGTATAATTTGAATGCTGCCAAAGAAATAACTGAAGCGTTGTGAAAGTAGGTATAGAGCAGCAAAAGGGGTGGGGGGCAAAAATAATGACCCCTTGTAAAAATCTAGGTCAAAGGTCACGAATAATATTGCACTTGCCCGGGCGTTCTCTGGTTTCCCCTCTTAGTTACGATATGAGGAACGAGGGTAAAGCCAAACACTGGAGAAACCCCTCACACTTCGAGAACCGCGCCTCCTTCCTCACCGCCTCCCTCAGGATACAGAGAGTTCACTCCGGGGATGAGGGAACATACAGATGTAGGGTCGACTTCCGCACCAACCCGACCCTCACCTTCACCACCAACCTTACTGTTATCGGTAAGTTGTACCCACCACTACGGCCTTTACCTCTCAATTATAACGTATTATTGACTTTTTTCAGATAATCGTTTGAGTAATAGAAATTAAAAGTTATTATCATCTTGGTTTCATAATAGAACAGATAAAGAAATAATAATGAATAACTGGAGTGTTACAAAATATTCACATACCAATAAATGTTACAAGTTATTTCATATGAAAAATGTTAAACAAAAAGATTTAATGTTTCTCAAAATACCTTCTTGGTAATCTTTATACACAAAATATCCTGAACATATTTGTATTTTCTTGGGTGAAGGTCAGAGATTGACATTTTGACCGAGTTAAACTTTGTCTGACCTTTGTTAAGATTTAAACAGTATGTATAAACTAACACTAACTTCGGTATTTTGCTGAAGACATTGTAGCCAACCTTTCGCTGGGTGTCACATAAGATTGTTTTAGGTGTGTGTGTGTGTGTGTGTGTGTGTATGTGTGTGTGTATGTTTATCTGAAGCTACAGGACAACATGCACAGAGGGATACAAGCGTCCTTCACGTTGATGTATGATCCTGAGTGTATTCCTTCTCCATGGCGATGTATGAGTCAGTATAAAGAGGATTATGTATGATCACACGTGTGTATGTTTTCTTATTGACGTTACAGTCACCATGGACGTATTTCCTCCTTCATGTTGACATCTGAGCTTTATCGATGTGTACATTCGGGCTCAGACGCGTTACTGCCCCAGGGTTGTTTTTTATCTATAACCCAACCCAACCCAACCTAACCTGACTTGCTACACCGATTCATGTTCACTCGCCAGTGCCGCCTCGACGCCTGGCGATCTACACAGATCTGGGCGTGATGGCTCGCAGCGTGGTGGGACCGTTCACTGAGGGTGACACACTCCGCCTCACCTGCCGTGCCAGAGGGGGGTCGCCGCCCCCTAGAGTCACCTGGTGGGAGGGGGCCTCCCTCCTTGACCTCTCCTCGGAGGTGAGGGACGTCCAAGAGGTCAGTAACCTACTAGTGGTGCCGGCACTCTCTCGTGATGACCTGCGTCGTGCCTTCACCTGCCAAGCGTCCAACTCCAACATAACAGCACCAATCCTCTCCACCGTCACCCTCGACATGCACTGTAAGTCCCCAGTTTTACCCCAGACTTACACTGTATGTCACTTCTGGAAACTTTCCTGCTTTACTACTAATTATAAAGATTCATAAGGTACACAGAAGGGAAAACTTCTTAGTTTTGTTCCACCATACAGTTAAAATCACCTTGGATGGAATGGATACACAATACAGCGATAACATGACAACCTGTGTGGTACAGTACAGTATATAGTGGTGGTCTCCCCTACAGTTCCGCCGTTGTGGGTTCGTCTCCTCAGTAGTCGGGACGCGCTGAGTGCTGGCTGGCCTTACAGTGTGGTGTGCCAGACCGCAGGTGCCAGGCCCTCAGCGGTCATCACCTGGCGCCTCGGCAACACCAAGCTCATCACTCACACTGAGAAGGTACAGTAAGTCCTGGTGCTTTTCCTGCCGGGTCTTAAGCCACACTAACAAGTTAACACTGGCAAGACAAGTTCCTCGCCTTCATAATTAACAGTGATACACACACACTGGCTTACACACTCTTGTCCTGAGACCACTCCCCTATCCCGTGTTACACTACCAAGCTCATCACTCACAAAGGTATATTCCCGTATTAATGTTTAATACGAAGTCACACTGCCATCTCAACACTTTTACGTAAATAGTTGTCGCCCTTCTTCACACTTACTGCCAACACACCATCAACGAGACAGGAGTAACCACTCAGAATGCCAGAGAGAAGGTCAACTTTAAGCCTCGGTGCCATTGTCTGAACTTTCTATAAAGAAGATAACATTGGAACAAATTTTTTTTCAATAGCATAAGTTTGGCCTAAATTCGACTTTAATAAAAAGACCCGTGAAAAAGAAATTGTATCATTCGTCGAGAAGTGTGAGGCCAGTAGACCCCACAGTAATAAACACTGCTTCAGTATACTAAGGAAGAAAAAAAAGTCAAAACTTCGTACAATGTAAATTTAAATGAGAACTAACCAGTAGAGCTTAAAAGTAATTAACCAAAAATTATAATACGGTATTAGACTCGGCATTCACCTCCCACCACAATTAACGTATCTACCCCCCACCCCTTGAGAGTTGACAAGGCTCCTATTATTACACAAATTTATTTTTTTTATATAAGTGTAAGAAATAAGTTACTATAGTTTATAAACGCTGCTTAAGTCATTATTCTTAATTTAGGTAATTATTTCACAATTATCTTTAATGACTGGAGGCAAATTTTATAAAATAGATTCAATTATGAAAAATATCTGGCTGGCATTTTACCTCCCATCCCCTTTCCTCCACTGACGTCATCAACTTTTATAAAAAAAATTTTAAGTAGACATTTTTATATAATTAACTTACGTGAAAATATACCAGTTATATCCGGAGTAAAACCTACAGATAAGCCCTTATCCAGTGAGACTGTCTTAGAACAACGC